AACTAGAAAACTATTAGATTTACAATCATCAAACTTGGACAATTTATGCATCTTGGGTAGACGGTGTGTCACGACCTATTTCAAGATCACTGTGACCTTTAATTTTAGTGAATTTTTAAAAAAATTAAGTCTTTAAAATTTTAAATTTCATAATCCTAAAAAATGTAAAAATATAGTTGTATCCTTATTAAAAAATGCTAAATTAAGTAAAAACTTATTTTTTATCATATACTTTACAGCAAACTCTATAACAAATGTTAATGATTTGAGAGGAATTCAGTTTGTCCCATGGGCATAATTATCAAGCACTGGTCAAGGAGAATTTTTGATAGCAGAAATGTGCATGTCAAATTAAAGAGAAATTAATGAGTTCATTGTCGTGGCAAGAGATCTCTAGATCTTATCTTAATTTTACTCTTGGGAGTTGGGCAAAAAGAAATGGCCTTATAGTTGCTTGTGTTAATTAAGAGTTCTTGATGGCTGTAGTTCAGATAAAGATCTTTCAATTGGTGTAATGTAATTAAAACAAATTGATGTTTTAGTGTTTGATTAAAACTGAATTAGTATTGTATAATATAAGTAAAATTAACTAGAAAGTCTGCTATTGCAAGCAATAGCATATGTCGCCCTGTACTGGACAAGACTTTCATTTTTATCATCACTAAAACAAAAGTCCATTAGCTAAGTTTGAACAACCATCGAGTTTTAATCAGTCCTTTCCATTGGAAACGGAAGACCTTAATTGGGTACATCCCACTAATTATTTTTAGAATTGGTAGGAGAAGAAAGTAGTTCAGGAAAATTACAAGTTCCTAAATTTGCAGACTTGCATAAAAGAAATTTGGCAATGTACTGAACTGAGCCTTATACTTGTTAATTGGCAGTATCTTTCCTTTCATAAAAGCTTGGGAAATGTAATTTATGAAGAAGATCAGCAGAATTATTTTGTGCATTGTAACGCCAGTGAAAACTCTTAAATTTCCCTCTTTCACTTTCATTTTAGAGGTTCTGCCGAAAAACGAATCTGACATGCCACCATCAATTCGAGCATTTCTGCATTGCAGAGAGCTGATGTTTGTTATGAAATGATAAATCATGTGTAAACTTTCTCAGTTTAGCGGAATCATGAACATTTTCGGCGAGATGAATGTTTTGTATACAGTGGTGATCAAGGCTTTGCGAACCTGCAGGAGCGGATCAAAGGATTTATGAATGAATAAAAACTATGGAAATGACGTACCAAATTTTTAATTTATACTTGCACTATCTAATGAAATGAATAATATACAATTAATAAATATACAAGAAAACGCGAAATGATAATAAATGCAGCTGACAATCGTTAATTTTTTTTCATATAGATAAAATATCTATAAATTCAAGAGACAAAACAGAAGGAGAATGAATGATGGCAAAATATCACATGACGGAAACTGAGTTTTATGAATGAAGATTTTAAAACGCTACTTGTAAGTTGTATATGTTATATCTGTGTATTCTACCTGGCTGTGTGCTTCAAAAGGGGGGGGTCGTCTTGAACATAGTACATAGCCATAACGTTTGAACGGTAAGTGCTAGGGCTTTTGTATTTCAAATATGTAATCCTTGTGAAAAGAACTTTTATTGGATACGACGAACTTTGACCCTTTGACCTAGACCTTGGAGAACACATGTGTACATCTGAATCTTTTTTTGTTTCGTTTCTATGGCAACTGTGAGCGACTCATTACAATTATTTGAAAAGTAGAAATCACTTTGACACATTGCAAGGAATAAACATTGAAAGTTTCAAAACGATTGCCTGCGTAGTTATTGAGAAAATCAAAATTAAAGAATTTTAACTTTCACCTGGTTTCCATGGCAATAATCGATTATTTGAAAATTTTAAATGCGAGTCGCACAACTACAGATACTAATCATTAAAATAAGAAAAGTTTCATGACGAACGTTTAAGGGACCAGAGAGAACACTCTCGGACAAAATTTGTCGCTTTTTACAGGTTTCCATGGCAACGGTAGACATATTGGAACTGAACGACCTCACTGCACAACTACAACCAGTGATCGTCCTTTGAGAAAAGTTTCAGGAAGATTGTCCCAGCCATCTCCGAGAAACAGCCTGGATAAAAAAAACATGCGTACAATATCAATATGTCGTCCCCGACTTCGTTCGGGGCGACATAATTATACATGTGTTCATTAAAAAAAAAAAATTACATTTCAAATTTTATATATTTGCAACAAATTGCAGTCATGTCTCACTTAGAATTTAATAGTCTAAAGAATAATTAATTTTTCATTTTTTTTTTATTAGACTGTAGCATTTCCATTATTTCATAAAATATGCAATAAACAATTTAAAGCTGCAGATGGATATTTGTTAAGCTCTAACACAGCCAGTTTAGAATTATATGATGTATTATTTGTTTAAATTAATCCCTACACTGTAAGTCTCTTAGAGATGTATGTACAATATTTTAAACATGATAAGAAATGGAAATTAGATCATTGAAATCTGTGTCAATCTGTTAATCAAGGTTACTTAATTTTCTTGCACCCTAACCAATTTATGATTATCGAACAATATTTGATGGGCCTATCATGCTGTGGCTAGGCACTTTATTTAGACAATAGTGAATACCTCTTACTAGATCCATAAAATATTTCTGAATTGGCACCAGTACTCTGAAAAACCCAGCGGGGGTATTTGTCCCTATTGGACAGTTCTAGTTTTTTTCTTTGTTTAATTGTTTAGTAGTGAGAAAGGGGGTGTGAATTTGTGTGCGGTAGTTTGTGTGAGATCTTTGTTATTGTTATTATTATTATCATTATTTTTTTTTTGTAAATAAATTTATTAAACTTATTGAACTTGTGTGATTCTTGGAGATAGCCAGCTTGACCACGTGACACAGGTAATGTTCTCCATTAAACTTGAAGTTGTTGAAGTTGAGAACATGTTCAAGGAGCTTGGCAAGGGAATCGGTAGAAGGAATTATATATATAAGGTCGAGAGTTCAACCTGGGCTGGGGCGGAAGTGGGTATCCATATATAAGTGATTTTCTTTGTGCTTTCTATATATATATATATCTATCTATCTATCTATATATATATATATAAATTAACATGTCCCAAAACTCATTAAACACGTGTAACTTAAGTATCGAATCATGTAAAGAACATGTTTTTAAAACTACTTAAGCCTTGTTGTCACAATAAATTCATGGGTATGAAAATATTCTTATGTAAAAATATGATCTCTAACTTATTTTGCCCAGTATAGCTTCTATAGTGAGCTTTTTAAAATTACATCTCGCTAAAATTAAAATACCAATTTCTAAGGACAAATTGCTAAATTTGCGTCTCACTAAAATTTCCACTTGTATAGTATTTCATTGATTATAACTAAACCTTTGTATTTGCCAGAAAATATGAAACAAAACGTGGACATTTTTTTTAACAATTATACAGGATTCTCAATTTCATTTATTGAATTTTGATTCATAGTACACATAACACCTTTTCACTGAACATGAAGAAATCTGACGTGAAAAAAAAATCTTGAACATAACAGAACATGTCCAAAATTTACTTAAAGTTTCATCAATACTTAATGTGTCCTCCATTTGCTCTCAGAACAGCCTGGCATCGATGTTGCACACTGGTTGTGAGATTCACAATGTTCTGTTGTGGGAGATTGTTCTATTCCTCTCTCAGCGCATTTTCAAGGTTATCCTAATTCTTTGGTTAGTTTGGATGTTGTGAAAGTTGATGCTGAAGTTGATCTCTAACATACTGGATGGGATTCAGGTCAGGCAAGATAGCAGGTGACTCCATACACTCAATAGTGCCCCTCTGCAGATACTCCTGAACCATAGGAGCATGACGAGGATGGGGAGTATTGTCCGTCAGAATGAAATTTGGCCCAATGGCAGCTACAAACAACCTAAGGACGGAGTGAAGAATTTTATCCCTGTATCACAGAGCAGTCTGCACCATTTCTGATGGCTATAATGTCAGTGTGACCCTTCAGAGAAATCACACACCAAATCATTGCACAGCCACCCCCAAACCAATTGTGTTTAGCCACCAATGCCTGACTGTATCTTTGCCTGGCCTCTCTGCACACATGCCTAAAAGCATCATGAAAGACAAGGCATATTGCAGAACTCATCTGTGAACAGTACTAGCTCCCAACCTCGTCTGTCCCAATTCACATGCTGACGTTGCAAATTCCAAGCATGCTTCTTGATGATTTGGGAGAAGTCCGGGGGACACTACTGGCCTGTAAGCCCCAATAAGTAGCATGAAGTCTGTTTCTCAAAGTCTTGGGTGTAATGTGCAAGTCTGTGGCAACATTAAACTAAGAAGACAGTACAGTCTTGGAGCTGGTTGAAAATGCTGTCTCCTGGCTAAGGTTAAGAAGCACCGGTCTTGGCGTTGTGTTTTAGCATGGGGTCTTCCACTCTTAGGCCTCTCATTGACAGTTCCAGTCCTCTGAAGTTGTTGCCCAGAATCTAGAAATGACACTCTGGGACACATCAATGTTCAAATTATTATTCTCTATCCCTTTTCAATAACATAAGTGACTGATATAAGGCATTACACAACTACCCAGTGAGAACCACATTTTTATTGTGCGACCCATGGGCATGTGCAAAGTGTGAAGCTGCATACAATTAACAGGATTCAAGTCACAAACTGTTTTCTCAATCAATATGTTTTATTTCACTAATCATTTATCCCCAAAAATATATGAAGCCAAATGCACATGATCCCCAACTTTTTTTGTCCAGTATATATTTAATCTGTAGGTGGTGGTATACTTACAGAGGTAATACCTCTATGGCGGTGTCAATTTTTACAGGTTACACCTCTATGTCAGTGTTGATTTTTAGAAATTATACCTCCATGTTGGTGGTAATTTTTACAGTTTATACCTCTATATATGTTCGTGTCGATTTCTACAGATTGTACCTCTCAGTTGGTGGTGATTTTTACAGGTTATACCGCTATCTCAGTGTAGTGGAGTCCTGGAGTGGTGTGAGGGAACCTTGCCTATAGGGATGTATTTGATTGGAGAGAGGGATGAATCCAAGGGAGCTCATAAAAGATTTAGACCACAGGACATAACAGCCAGGGCCTGTAGGGATAAGATGGTAGTAAGTCTATCCTCTCAAAATACGATGGTTGTCAATGAGTAATCCATTATACTATATATCGTAATAAATGTAGAAGTTTTTAATTTTATTTTTTCACAGATGAAAAGTTCTATTATAAGCGCTAATCATAGAAAACACCATGGTTTTCCCTATTGTACTCGCAAAGAAATTCTATTTTAGATAAGCATGGTCACAACACAGAGCTGAAAACTGTTTATAAATGATCTCTGCCAAGAAGATGAAATGAATGCATATGTGAAACTTATGCTTTTTAGCTCACCTGAGCCGAAGGCTCAAGTGAGCTTTTCTGATCAAAATTTGTCCATTGTCCGTCTTCGTAGTTGTTGTAGTCCTTGTTGTCGTTGTTGTCGTTGTAAACTTTTCACATTTTCGTCTTCTTCTCAAGAACCACTGGGCCAATTTCAAACAAACTTGCTACGAAGCATCCTTGGGTAAAGGGGATTCAATTTTGTTCAAATGAAGGACCACACCCTTTTCCAAGGGGAGATAATTATGAATTAGAGAAAAATTAATGGCATTTTAAAAATATCTTTTTCACAAGAACCACTTGGCCAGAAAAGATGAAATGCATCTGGAATCATCCTCAGGAAGTGTAGATTCAAGTTTGTTCAAATCATGACCCCGGGGGGTAGGGTGGGGCCAAAATGGCCGATCAAACTTTTACATAGGAGTATATAGGAAAAATCTTTAAAAATCTTCTTCTTAAGAACAATTGAGACAGAAAAGATGAAACTCATGTGAAATCATCCTCAGGAAGTGTAGATTAAAGTTTATTCAAATCATGACCCCCGGGGGTAGGGTGGGGCCAAAATGGCCGATCAAAGTTTTACATAGGAATATATAGGGAAATCTTTCAAAATCATCTTCTCAAGTACTTCAAAGCCATGATTAGTGATATTTATATGGAATCATCCTCAGGTAGTGTAGATTCTAGTTTGTTCAAATCATAACCCACAGGGATAGGGCGGGCCACAATGGGGGATCCAAGTTTTACATTAAAATATATTAAAAAATCTTCTTCTCAAGAATAGCAAAGCAATGATCAGTGATACTAGTATTTATATGGAAGCATCCTCAGGTAGTGTAGAATTAATTTGTTCAAATCATAAACCCAGTGGTAGGGTGGGGCCACAATGGTGGATCAAAGTTTTACATAGAAAAGTAAAGGGGAAAATCTCAAGAACAGAAAAGCTATATTTAGTCATATTGACATGTAAGCATCCTCATGTATTGAAGATTTAAATTTGTTCAAATCATGGCCCTTCGTTGTAGGAAGGGAAACAATGGGGAATCAAATTCAAATTATTATGAAGTAATATATATATATAGGAACAAAATGTTTCAAAAGAAATCTTTTTATCAAGAACAGCAAAGTCGTATGCTGTTTTGATATGAAGGCATTCTCAAATAGTATTAAATTTCAAGCCCCCCCCCCCCCCTCCCCCATATCAGTAAGCTTTCAGTTCTCATCTGATATGTGCTTTTGTCCTATCCAATGTGCTCAGGTGAGCGATGTGGCCCTTGGGCATCTTGTTGCATAATTGACTGAAAACTCAATTTTAAAGATATGATTTTTTGAGGAAAAATAACCTTTAGGGCCGTATAGTTTTCAGGTCAATTCAAAAATTCAAAAGGAAAAAAGGAGAGTTAAAATATGATAGTCAATCATGTTATATGATAACATGTAATAAGAGCAATAGGACCATAATAAAATATTCCTAGATTCTCATCCCCACCCGCCCTAATTTTTTTAACCCCATTCCCTCAATTTTTTTTAATCCTGCTTTTCTTCATGTAATTCTGATTGGGATCGGTATTCAACTACCACTCAACTTTCGTTTTAAATCCTGCGAATGTCAGGCCTGAGTTTGACAGCAGAAAAGATGTTAATTGCTGTAGTAATACCGTATAATCCCTATTAACTGCCCCTACCCCTATAAGCACCCCCTTAGGTCTTTTTCAATTGTCAGGAAATAAGGGCCTCCTGTAAGTGATGAAAATTAACTGGAATCGTATCAAAAAAATGAAGAAAGTGAAAATGAAATTTGTCTATCATGCAGTTTGATTTTTGTGGGGGCAAAGATAAGCAATATACCTCATGTAGTTCTTTGTTCAAATGAAAGGCACATGCCCTCTTCCATGGGGAAATAATTGAAAATTAGTGAAAAATGAATAGCATCTTTTATAAATTGTCGGAACAAGAACCACAGGGATAGGAGAGATGAAACAATCTTGTTTAGTGTAAAATCAAATTTGTTCAAATAATGACCTCTGGGGGTAGGGTGGGACCACAGTTCTACACAGGAATATATAGGAAAAATCTTTCAAAATCTTCTCAAGAACAGCAAAGCTATGATTGGTCATTAGCTCAACTAGTCAGAGACCAGTAGAGCTTATGCGATAGTAAGGTGTCTGTCCTCCATTCATCTGCCTGTCTCTGTCTGTCCATCTGTAAACAATTTTTCAAAATGCTACTTCTCCAACAGTTTTGATCTGATTTCAATATAAATTGGCACACAAGTAGACTATATTAAGTTATATAATTCTCTATATCATTTTTTGATTTCAATGAACGGTGTTGCAGTGGTTACTAAAAAATAGACATTTCTTTGAAATACTTTCAAAATGCTGCTCCTCTGATTACAGTATAACTTGGCAAACAAGTAGACAACACTGAAGTACATAATTCTCTTTATTGTTTTTTTTATTTTGGTGTATGATGTTGCTATGGTGACGAAATTGAAATTTCTGTAAAATTCTTTTAAAAGACTAGTCCTACAGTTCTAGTCTTATTGCAATCTTGCCACAAAAAGACAAATCAAGGATCATTATTCTATTTACAGTGGAGCCTCATTTATCCGGACGCTTTGGTTCCCATTCAAATTTGTTCGGATATGTGAAGCGTCTAGATACCTGAATCACCAGACAAAATAACATTAAAAAATTCAGTGCTGATAAAAAATCGTCTGGATACTGAAGCATCCGGATATCTGGCGTCGGATATCTGAAGGTCCACTGTATCGCTTTTGCAAATTGAATTTCAAGTCCAACTGCTTCCTTTCCTTTGTTATAAGTACAAACCAGTAGAGCTACAGTCTAGACAGAGACTTCAGGTTTTTATACGCCCGTCTTAAGACGGGACGTATTATGTTATAGGCTTCATGTCCGTCTGTCCATTCCTGTCCGGCTCATAACTTGAATACTATTAGGCCTAGGGTTATAGAAACTTTGTCAACTTATACTTCTAGGGTAGACGGTGTGTCGCGCACAAAAAGTAGGTCGCTCTGACCTTTAATAAAGATGCTATAGCCAAATATGGAAAAATCCTGTCCGGCTCATAACTAGAAAACTATTAGACCTAGAGCTTTCAAACTTGGCAAAAGTATACATCTGAAGTAGAAGGTGTGTCGCGGCCTATTTCAAGGTCACTGTGACCTTTAATTAAAGTGAATTTTTTTAAAAAACTAAGTCTTTTAAATTCTAAATTTCATAATCCTAAACAATGTAAAAATATATCTGTATGCTTATTAAAAAAACGTTAAATTAAGTAAAAACTTATTTTTTCATTATATACTTTACAGCAATCTGTAACAAATGTTTATGCTTTGAGAGGAATTCAGTTTGTCCCATGGGCTTAATTATCAAGCACTGGTCAAGAAGAATTTTGATAGCAGAAATTTGCATGTCAAATTAGAGAGAAATTAATGAGTTTATTGTCAGGAGCTAAGAGCATCTCTAGATCTGATGCAGCTGTTATCTTAATTTATCTGTTGGGAGTTGGGCAAAAAGATGCTTGTGTTAATTAAGAGTTCTTGATGGCTAGTCCAGATAAAGATCTTTCAATTGATGTTTTATATATTAGTGATGCAGCTGTTATAATATGATCAAAACTAATTATACATGTGTTGATAAAACTAAAAAAAAAAAAAAATTATATGTTCATTGAAAAAAAAAAAATAATATATTTATATATATTTGCGACAAATTGCAGTCATGTCTCACTAGTATTATTTGTTATAATCAATCCCTACACTGTAAGTCTCTTAGAGATGTATAATAAGAAATGGAAATTAGATAATTGAAATCTGTGTCAATCTGTTAATCAAGGCTATCTGATTTTCTTGCATCCTAACCAATGTATGATTATTGAACAATATTTGACGGGCGTATCATGCTGTGGCGGGGCACTTTATTATATGGATCGAAGCATCCTCAGGTAGTGTAGATTCAACTTTGTTCAAATCATGACCCTCGGGGGTAAGGTTGGGCCACAATGGACCATCAAAATTTTACGTAGCAATAAATAGGAAAAGTCTTCTCAAGAATAACAAAGTCATGATTGGTCATTTTTAGCTTGTGTGAGTTTTTCTGATGAGTAAAAGGGTGATGAAAGAGTCTGTTGTCTGGGGTCTGTCATTTGTAAACTTTTTCTCAATTTTAACTTATTCTCAAGAACTTAACTGAGCCTTTTTCAACCAAACTTGTCACTAATATGACGAATCATGGTTTTGCAAAATCTGTAAAACCTTTATTTTCTTCTTTTTAGACCCCTCCTCAACTTTTACTTCCAAAATGCCCTTAGATAAATGGTCTTTCATTCTAAATTCATTTGCTTGAGGTATTCCATGTATAATGAAGGGATTTTAAACAACTTTAAATAATTTTAAACTAGTTAAAAATGCATTTCTAGATAACAATAAAAGTGAAATAAACCAAATTTACAAGACATGTACATGTATACATGTAAGGAGATGGTCATTTTGCACGTTAAAAGTTTTTGAAGAGTTATCTGCCCTTAATTTCTCACAATTTCTGTGGTAATTAATTCATTCTACTTCATAGTTTAATAAAGAGGGAGTAATGCATATTTTCACCAAGAGATTTCTTGAAATTCAAATTACTTTTTACAATATCTAATAAAAACATGTGCTGCCCATTGACTTTAATGTAAAATTCAAGGTGCAATTAATTGGACAATAATCAACATTCCTTTGGTGGAGCATTTTTATTTGATAACATAATTATGCTACCATGATTAAAAATATCAGACCATTCATTTATAAGGTACAAAAATATGGTCTTTATATATTGAATACCTTAAAATGGGGCAAATGAACATGTTGAAATGGTCATCATCTCAATGATGTCTACTGGGTACTTGTTTTTAATTTCAAAGTTTATATTTGCAGGAAACAGTTCGAGCTTCCTTGAATGACAAGTTAAAGAATTTCCTTGGAATATGCTCTAGATTTCAACCAGTATTGAGATATTTCTTCCTGGAAAAGTTTTCACAACCCTCAGTGTGGTTTGAACGCCGATTGGCATACACCAGAAGTGTATCTACAACCTCAATTGGTATGAAGTTAAGAAGGAAATGTTATTTATAAGGGCCCTGCATAATAATGCGGCAGCCAAAGGACCCTCTGTCTCTCAACACTTTTGTTGTGACTCAGTAACTTAGTCAGATTTTAAGGTAATGTTTCCGAATTGCACAGAAGTATACTTAAAGATTCTACACCTATAGATTTTTACATTTTGTCATCGTCAATGACAATTATTCCTCAGTGGGAATGGGACATGTCTCCTCTCTTGCATGATCCTTTACTAAGTCTTGCATGTTTGTAGAGGTACTGTTGTCTCTCCAAAGAAAGTTCGCCTGTCAAAAAACTAGAATTGTGTTTTAAATTTTAAGTCATTGCAATAATTTTTAGTTAATCAGATCTAAAGTCAAATATGAACCTTTAGCCAAGGTCTCCAGAAGTCTCCTGCAAGATAAAGTGGTAGTTGAACAGCAAAAGTAAGGTGACTGGCCTTTCATTATCTGCTGATTTCTCTTTTATGACTACTACTCTAGAATAAAGGGAGGTAAAACAGAAGTAATGATACTTCCGAACACCTGACAGAGGACTAATCTCTGCTAAAAAGGACTTCTTGCCTTGTGAATGCTTGGTCCACCAGGACGACTCAGTTTTTGAAGATTTTTCTATTATCTGCAACAGATCGGAGAGAGAGAGTCATTGTCCATTCTAAATATAAATACCTAATTATTCTTTTTAATTTAAAAGTTAAAATGTGGTTGTTTTTTTTAAAAAAGAAGATCAAACTCTAAGATCAAGGTCAAGGTGTCAAATTTGGTGGTACCGAAAGAAAGGTCTTGTCACAAAGAATGTACCTATGAAATATGAAAGTCATAGTCCCAGCCACTCAATAGTTATGGGTAAGGTTTAAGTTTTTGTGGACAGACAGACAGACTTACAGGACAAAAACTATATACTCGTACCCTAGAAACTTTGTTTACAAGAACATTTAAAAAGTTGTTTTTTGTTGGAGTTCATGCATTCTTAATGCCTGGGGTAGAGGTTGGGGTTGAGTCCAACTGAATTTTTAGCTCACCTGAGCCGAAGGCTCAAGTGAGCTTTTTTGATCACATTTTGTCCATCGTTCGTCTGTCCATCTGTCTGTCTAGCTGTCAATCCATCTGTAAACTTTTCACATTTTCAACTTCTTCTCAAGAACCGCTGAGCCAATTTTTACCATTAACTTGGTACAAAGCATCCTTGGGTAAAGGAGAGTTTAAATTGTTGAAATAAAGGGCAAAGTCACTTCACAAGGGGAGATAATCAAGAAAAGACAAAAATAGGGTGGGGTCATTAAAAATTCTTCTTCAGAATCTCAAGAACCACTGGGCCAAAAACTCTGAAACTTATATGGAAGCATCCTGGGGTAGTGTAGATTTTAAATTTTAACTTTTTTAAAAATTTAAAATTTTAAAATCATGGCCCCAGGGGATAGGGTGGGGCCACAATAGGGAATCAAAGTTTTACATAGAAATACATAGGGAAAAAACTTTTAAAATCTTCTTCTCAAGAACCACTGGGCCCGAGAGGCTGAAACTTATGTTGAAGCATTATTGGGTAGTGTAGATTCTAAATTGTAAAAATTGTGACATGGAGGGGGGTTACGGTGAGGCCACAATAGGTATTACAAGGGAGGAAATCTGGTAAAGAACGGCATCACCAAAGTTACTCAGGTGAGAGATGTGGCCCATGGGCCTCTTGTCATAGTTATTATAAACCTTGGATTCTTTAGAGAAAAAAAATAGCTTTTGTATAGTGTTATCTAATTTGTAGCAATGTAAAGGTCCTGTCACACTTCGTTCACACGGAATCATTATGGCGTTGTTTAATGTTTAAAATTGCCGTGGAATCGCAAGGAAATTTCACAAATTTCTGTAAATTTTTACAATGTGAGGATGTCACAATGTCCCTACAGCGACAGACGCAATTCTACGGCGATCTCACAGCATTCTACTGTGTTCCCATGGAGATCTTTTGGCGATTGACTGCGCTTCAACAGAGTTTTCATGGCGTGTTAGGAGATGCCATCTTGTGTTCACAGCGTTCTCACTGCGATGGTTGCATTCACAATACGTTCACAATGTGTTCTTCACCCATGGATATATATTCAGAAGGAATGTTAATTATTTTTTATTAAAGATTCAAGTTACGTGATGAAAATACTTCTTTTTCTAATTAAAATGATCCATTTGAATAATTTAGTACTAATTCATTAATAGTTTAAGAATAAAAATTCTTTCTTTCCATTTTATTGATCCAGATGCTTTTTTTTTATTTTCTTTGATTTCATTATGAATGTAAAAATAAATAATAAACACACTGTAAATAAGTAATAAAATATGAAAATATGCTACAAAATTTAAGTAATTCCACCGCAATTCCACGGAAACAACAGAACAATTAAGTTCGTGCATGCCCAAAGTGATCGCCGTACCCTGGCCTTCTAGGATACCCTACGCGACCCTACCGCGTTCAGTGGAGATCTCGCCGCATTGTCACGGCGCTGTAGGAGACTCCACTGCGATCACCCGGCGTTTTCCATTTTTTATGGATGTCATGAGGATGCAAACCCGATGTGACAGGGGTTTAAGACTTGAAGCCACCCCCCCCCCTCCCCCCCCCAAAAAAACGAGAGATGTTTCATTTCTAGTGTGTGTTTGTAAGGTTTTTCATTGCATGTTAGCCTGAACTCATGCAACACACTCAATGGAATCTCACAGACTATCTTTCTTGAACTTTTATAAACCTTCACCCCCACCGCCACCCCTGCTGCTAAAAATCCTTCAGTAAATTTTATGAAAACCAGGTAAACTTTAATGTTTAAGCCTATGTTACCTTGAGGAATTTCAATATGCTGCTGAGCAATTAATTTTTCCATCACAAGGCATCTAAGCAATTCACATTTTGGACAAACATCAAATCTGGGAGACACAATTTTGATGAGAGGAACACACTGCAGCCAGATGCCCTTAAATGTTGACAGTTCCACTGACCTATGTTTGTTTGCTTTTTTTTGGTATAGTTTATATTCACTGTGTATTATAGAGATAAAAGTATAAAACACAACCAATACTCAGAAAAATTATAAAGTTGGTTTAAAAATTGATAAATTTTTAAATTTTAATATAAAACATAACGGTATCTGGTTTTAATCAGCTAAATATTAAGGATATGACAGACCTTTCATTGCTCTCCTCACAGAAAGACATGTATCTTTGTTAAGGAAGCTGGCAAGAGAATGGGTGTTTGGACAGCATCATTGCCATGGGGCACAGTTGGGAGGAGAAACAAGCACTCCTCACTATAGCGCACAATGAAAATCACTCCTCTTTTGATGTCCGAAAAAGACAGGGCATGTTTAGGCTTTCTGCCTTTATTTCCATGGGACCTGGGAACTGGTCCATTAAGTTTCATGTGTTTTATCAATGGAAAGTTTTTATTAAATACTTCTCGCTGATGTCATGCGTTACTAGACCAAAATAAGAATTACCTTTGTTTCCCCTAACTCGATTGACCCAATTAAATTGCACTGACTGAAAAGATTTTTTATATAAGATGATTCAAACAGTATTTTTATTATTAACCAAGTTTAATAAAATTCAATTTTATCAAAATCATTTTTTATCAGAGACGGCCAATATTGTTCTACAGTGATTTTAAAGCATATTTGTTGGAAACAAAATGGCACCCAGATGTGATTACAGAGAATTAGTTCTTCATAATACAATGGCGATGTCTCAATCTTATGCCTTTAACTAATTAGAATTCTTCACTCTTGAAACAATTCGATAATAAAATTTACCATGACTAATTAAGAGCTGTTTCGGAGGTGTCTTGGCGTCTCTTGGTGTCTCCATGTTAGTGATAAAATTTTCAAAAGGGACCTTAAACAACAAACAAACAAACCTGTCTGTTGAATTTAAGGTACGTAATACATGGAAAGGCCCACCTCATGAGCAGATGAGAGGCCCATCTAGTGAACACATTATTCAATTTCACTGCAATTTATTTAATTTGAGTTTTGATCTAATAACGAGTTTATCTATGTTCCTATGTTTACTATATTCCGTTGAAGGACCGTTTTCAATGTTCCTCATTGAGATTTGAACCTGAGACTTCAAATTAGCTGCTTACCTTTTAACTCCAAAGCAAAATGCTCTAGAACCACTGCAAATCTCATGGCCCGTAAAAAAAGTACAATGATTGTCTATAAGCACTGGAGGCTGATGGAAGGTTTGAAAAAATATACTCGGATGTCCGGTCTTTGCATATTTGAGAATCTTGTCTTTTTTTTTTATTTGATTTATATAAATGTTCTCTGGCGTGAGGTATTTCACAAGTTCAACTAAATAACAGTTGCGAATTGATCAATCATGAATTTTGCTTTTAAACGACATATGTACATGACACTTAGCATTTTGTTCACAAATCACTTTCTTTTGTACTATTCATATTTATAAAGGTAATTTTTCATGAAATTTTAGAATGTATTTTCAAAGCTGCTGTCAGATAAAAAAAAATTGTTTACCTACCTACCAACCCAACTTGAGATTTTAGGGTCGGGCTAGGGGAAACAAAGATATTTTTAATTCCGGCCCTAGAAAAGCTTCTTAACATACCTCCCTGTCGTCATAGTTGTACATGTACCTTTGCCTTTTTCTATAACTTGCGTCGATCACAGTATCCTTGTTTCTCATTTTTAGCTCTACTGGTCAGAGACCAGAAGAGCTTATGCGATAGTAATGCATCAGGCGTCCGTCCGTCTGTCTGTCTAGGAGTGACCAGGTTAAAGTTTTTGGAGCAGGTCCATTCCCCAAGGAACTATAAGCCCTACCCAAACCAAACTTGCATGGATGATGCATACAGAGATGGACACTACCAGACTTGCTTTGGATGCTGGATCTGACCTACATTTTCATTCCCAAGTAACTATAAGACCTACCTGAACCAAACTTGCATGGATGATGCATCTAGGGATGGACACTACCAGACTTGCTACGGATGCTGGATCTGACCTACATTTTCATTCCCAAGTAACTATAAGCCCAGTTTCCTAACTGAACCAAACTTGCATGGATGATGCATCTAGGGATGGACACTACCAGACTTGCTTCTGTTGCTGGATCTGACCTATATTTTCATTCCCAAGTAACTATAAGCCTTACCTGAACCAAACTTGCATGGATGATGCATCTAGAGATGGACACTACCAGACTTGCTTCTGTTGCGGGATCTGACCTATATTTTCATTCCTAAGTAACTACATGTATAAGCCCTACCTGAATCAAACTTGCATGGATGATGCATCTGGGGATGGATACTACTTGCTTCGGATGCTGGATCTGACCTATATTTTCATTCCCAAGGAACTATAAGTCGTACCTGAACCAAACTTGCATGGATGATGCATCTAGGGATGGACACTACCAGATTTGCTTTGGATGCTGGATCTGACCTATATTTTCCAAACAAGAGACCAGGTTAAAGTTTTGGGAACAGATTGTCTCAATGAACTTGAAGTCCTTGATATCTGCAGTATTAACAAAGTTATGAATATTTGTTTACACTATGCATGTTTTTCAAGCTACACACGTAGAAATGTGTATATGCCACGGAAAGGGTTAAACACAACTTGCAAGAATTTTGTTGTTGGGATAAATACTAAATATTAAGAAAATATAACGTGAGATTTGCATTACTTACACTGATAACATTCGTCGAGGTGAGCTTCGTAATCTTTGATTACCTATGTTTCAAAATGCTACTTCTCCTTCAGTTTTGGTCTGATTTCAATATAACTTGGCACACATGTAGACTACCCTAAGATACATAATTCAGCTTTTCGGTTTTTGATTTTGATGAACGGTGTTGCCATGGTTACTAATAATAGAAATTTCTGTGAAATAATTTTAAAATGCTACTCCTCTTACAGTTTTGCTCTGATTTCAATATAACTTGGCACACAAGTAGACTACACTAAGATACATAATTCTGTATGTCAGTTTTTGATTTTGATGAATTGTGTTGCTGTGGCTTTTAAAAAAAAATTCTGTGAAATACTTTCAAAATTCTACTCCAAATGCAGTTTTAGTCTGATTATAATATAATTTGGCATGCAAGTAGACTACACTGAGATACATAATTATCAGTTTTGTTTTTTTTTTTATTTTGATGAACGATGTTTCCATGGTAACTAAAATTGAAAATTCAGATCTCTAAAATTTTATTAAAAGCTACTCCTAAAGTTGTAGTCTTATTGCAATCATGCCACAAAAAGAGACTTATAATCAAGGATCATAATTCTATTTACTGTATATATACAGAGTTTAATTTTGCCCCGTGTTATTTTCAACATTTTACACTTGCTAACAATTTTGCCCAGTTTTAAATTCACCCATTCACATTTCTGTAAAAGACATTATACAGTGTTCTTTTATTTGCCCTGTTTGAATTTGTCCAAATGTGACCAGGGTGAATGAATGGGGAAAAAATAAAATGAGGGCCAAAATTTCTCTGTATACAGTATTGCTTTTGTAAAGTTTTATGTCCCAACTGCTACTTTTCTCTCCTTTATTATACGTACAAACCAGCAGAGCTCAGTCTCGACAGGTCTCTACATAGACTTCTGGTTCCCATTAGGTACATATCTTTTCCATCACATCGTTTGTGTTGATTAATCTCTTCACATTGAAATTTATCAAAACATATCCAATGGCAAGAACAACCAAGTGAAATAACATATCTCTTAATTAAATTGTCCAAACTAGGATCCTCATCAAATACAGCTCCCCCTTCTTCATTCTGTGAAAAGTTTGAAGTAATTCTTCTGATCATTTCTTCATCTGATTCTATCTGTTCTGGAAAAGGGGGTTCTTCGTTAACTGCCTCAGTGTCTTTAGTAACTTTGTGTTTCAAGCACAAAAAGAATTCCCAAATTACTTCATCAAGTTCCTAATATTCAGGAAATATTCTGGAAAATATATAAGACTGTTGAATATCATTTTTTCCACTTTTTAATAACTCTGCTATTATGGTAACACCCAAACATTCTAAAAATAAATTATTATTTTTTTGTCATTATGTATGTATTTCCATGTAATTACTGTGCTTATTTAACTGTGGGTATTTTTTTTTAGCCATTTTTAGGAATGACGAATTCTTAGGCAAATTAATCGAGTATAACCTGGTTTGGGTAATTTTACCTTTTAAGGTCACCTGAGTCACTCAGGTGACCCATTGCTAACGTCCGTCATATGTTGTCAATCAGTCGTAAACTTTTGAACATTTTAAGCTTCTTCTCTATTGATTAAAAAATGAAATTACATTAATTCTTTGAAAATCTTTTTCTCTGCTCTTGGGTAGTAAACAAACTACCTAAGTATATAGTTATGATGAGCAAGAGTGTCTCTCAAAAATTGTGAAACTCAGGGCCCCCAGGGTAAGGGTTTTTGTGTTAGGGTGGGGCTCTATTAATTATGTAGTGAAAATTCATTTATTCTAGCTGTTAAATAATCATTTCCAATCCTTAGTGTTGAGCAGATAAATAAAGTGTATAGTTATTATGAATAGGGTTGCTTCGTACAATTTTTTAAAAAACTTTGTGGTCCCAGAGTGAGGGGCTTTTATATCTCATTTTGAGAGGGGGTGGAGGGGTGGGTGCTACAATGTATCTTCAACTAAGTGCAGACTTTAGTGCAGAGTTAGGATGATAAAGGTACCTCTTCCAGAACTGTGAATTCATGACCCTGGATGATGAGTTTTGGTATTAGGTAGGGCTGTGTTGAATCTGTACTGAAATGCATTATTTCCTTGAAAATCTTCTCTGCTCCTTGGGATATCATATGTAAACAAAGTAAATGTTTTAATAAGCAAGAATATTTTTATCATATTTTTTAAGAACACCTGGACCATTTGAATAAGTATTCTGGTCCTGGTCAGAGCTCTATGAATTTTTATTTTACTGGTATAGGTTACATCATAGATGGCTAGTAGTATTGATTATATCGTTTTCAGGGGGCGTGGAAATCAAGGGCGCGGAGCGCCCGAGATTTTCACGCCCCATGAAAATGATATAACCAATAGTACGAGGCAATCTATGATGTAAGCAACTTGTCGCATGTCTGATGACGTAAATTTCATTGAGAGTGTCAAACTTCAATAAAAAAAAAAATTGACCTGATCTCTGTCTCCTGCAGTGATATATGAAGGGGCGTGGAAAGTATTATCGCATATGTGATATGGGATATATCACCACAGAAAGATCAAAGAAAATTGCCGCAGATATGCGACAAAAAGAAGTTATTCCCCTTTGCAATTCACTTTTGACAATTTATCACTGTAAATAATGTATTTTGAAAAGTTAATAGGATAAGAAAATTATGCAGGAAATTTAATTGTATAATACAAAAACTACTTTCATAGTTTTAATGATCAGAAAGACTTGTAAATAATAGATAAATAAAAATAATGAAACTAAATTATTTATTAATCCAAAATAAGCCAATGTGCAATATTACATCACTCACTGTTAGGGTTATAAATAGTACAGAAGGACACATAGTTTGGTAATTTCATTCTTCAGCAGTTATATGGAATAGTCTTGGTGATAGTGATCAATGGGGGACATATTAAAACTTGATTTATGAGTTGCATTTAAATACCGTATAAGTGGAAATTTTAGCGAGACGCAAATTTAGCGATTTGTCCTTAAAAACTGGTAATTTAATTTTAGCGAGATGTTATTTTAGCGAATTTAAATTGCACGTTCAAGGAACTATTACAAATAAAACGCAATTAATTTTTAACGATATTCAATTTTAGCGATCTCGGCACCCTTGCTAATAATGCCAAAATTAGATCCTCGCTAAAAATTCTACTCATACGGTATTTAAATGCTTGCTTTTTGGGAAGCTTCATTTATCAGTTCATTTTATATTCTATGGATCCTCTATGTTGTTGTTTTTTACTCAGGTGACTGTTAAGGTCCTAGGGCATCTTCTAATACCTGTGAAGCAGATTTTAAAACAGCATAAACTGACCCAAAGCTTGTTATACTCAAATAATTTGGCCAAGAATTAGTCATTTAAAAATTAGATCATTTTAAATGAAATATTGAACATGGTTTTCTTTTCTTTCAAGTTGGATATATTCTTGGATTGGGAGACAGACACATACAGAACATTCTGATTGATACAAATTCTGCTGAGCTGGTACACATAGATTTGGGTAAGTTAACTGTGTTATATAATACAATTGCATTAGCACAGTTTTCTGTGTAAAACCAATATTTTAATGTCTGATACTAATACATTTAATTTTGTCAGTGGATGCTGCAGGTGTTGTAACAGTATTTCAGCTAGTGTTCACATAAAATCATGGCTGACACAAAATAATTCCTGAATCTCCCCTCCTGATTTGGGCATTTTGGCTTGAGACTAGAGCTGAATTTTTTATGAGATGAAAAACAATTTGTAAACTTTCTGTATTGACCAGATTAATAATTTTTTTGGGCGTGCTGATTTTTCTGTATACTGTATTTGAATGGGGAGTGATAAGGTCATGGACTTGATTTTCAAGAACATGCTCAGTTTCTACCCAAAACAAACTTTTGTGTGTTGCTGGATGGAAATGTATTTTTAGCTCACCTCAACAAAGTTTGGGGAGCTTATGTGATACCGTCGGTGTCAGCATTCCAGGTTAAGGTTTTTGGAGCAGTTTTCTTTTTAAAAACTTCTAAGCCCTACATGGATCAGACATGCATGGAAGATGTTTCTAGTATGTTTCATTGTATCAGATAAGGTTTCAGATGCTGCAATTGCAGCAAAGGAATGACCAGGTTAACATTGGAGCAGGTTAACATTTTGATGGATGATACATCAAAGGATGACAACCAGGCTTGCTTCGAATGCTGGATCTGACCTACATTAACTATGAGACCTATAATGACCAATCTTGTATGGATGATACATCCAAGGACGCATACTACCAGGCTTGCTTCAGATGCTGGATCTGACCATTTTCTAAATGAGTTAACAGGTTAATGTTTTTGGTACAGGTCACATTGCATAGAATTTATAAGCCCTATGATGACCAAACTTGCATGGATGTTACATCTAAGGATGTACACTAATAGACTTGCTTCAGATGCTGGATCTGACCTACATTTTCCTGATGAGTAAACAGGATAAAGTTTTTGATGCAGGTCTCATTTCTTAGTAACTATAAGCCCTAACTTGACTAAACCTGCATGGAAGACATCTAAGGATGCACACTACCCGACCTGCTTCTGTTGCTGAATCTGTCCTACATTTTACATTTCTAAATTTTCTTATATGGATGAATCATCAGGTAGTTAAAAATTAAGCCCCCCACCCCCACCTCATTTAAACAGTTTAGTACTGAGCTTATTTGTGCTTTTTCTTAGCCATTATTCTCAGGTGAGCCATTGGCCCATTTGCCCTCTTGTTAGCTCACCTGAGATGAGAGCTTTTCTGACCAATTTTGTCTGTAGTCCATCTGTCTGTCTGTTCATCTGTAAGCTTTTCACAATTTTTACTTCTTAACCACATGATCAGCAATTTTCAGCCTAACTTGCCACAAAACAGCCTTTGGTGAAGAGGATTCAATTTTGTTCAAATGAGGGCCATGCCCTTTTTCAAGGGGAGATAATTAAGAAATTGTGTAGATATAGTGCTATGATTAAAGGTTATAGGAATCTCATACATGTAGGAAACCTCTACTTTGTGTAGATTCAATTTTTATCAAGTCTTGACCACTGGGGTAAGAGTGGCATCACCATGGGGGATGAAAATTCTTCATAAGAATGTATACCGGTAAATAAAAATTTCTTCTCGACAATAGGGTATCAATCAATGGAATAAGTTTGAAAAGATTTGTGCTGAAGAACGACAAAGCCATTTGCTACCTTGATATGGAAGCATCCTCAGGTAGTTTAAAATTGAAGCCCAGCCCCTACCCCTGTAAACTTTTCAATACTGAACTAATTTGAGCTTTTTCCTAGCCTTTTGCTCAGGTGAGCGACATGGTCCATAAGCCTCTTGTTTTTCAAGTATACTTTGTTTTTAATTTGATACCAAGCAGGGGTATTAGTTTTATAAAAACACTCTAATTTTGTTTTGTATGTTTAGGCATTGCTTTTGAGCAAGGAAGGATTTTACCAACTCCTGAGACTGTCCCTTTCCGATTGACCCGAGACATAATTGATGGAATGGGTGTTTGTGGAGTAGAAGGAACATTTAGAAGGTATGTTAAAAGTATTATAAAAACACATGGGAAAAGTATTCTTTATTGGACTTATAAACAGAAAATAATTCTGAATTTAGTAATGGAGTTCACACTATACTTTTCTTTACTTTATGTACCTTTATTCGAATGTCTGTAGAACACTTTATTTGCTGAGAATAGCCCATATGATTTTGTACATATTTTCATCAAAATTTCAAGTTTTGTACTACACAGTGCTTTGGGTCTTTAGTTTGAACAATTAAAGCTGAACATGATTCATGAAAAGAATCTCTCCACCATTTTTGATCAGACTCTTACTATATACTGGGGACTCTTCTATTAAGGGCTTGACTTAGTCACTGTTCAGTGTAATCAGTTGACACAGGTGTAGATGGACGTATGCTACACAGAACTTTGTAGTGACAAAAATAACTGCAATACCTTTTCATTGCAGGAAAATAAGATACCAATGAAACTTACAATAGTGTACATGTCAGTGCAGTATACAAACAGATGGAATTGCAATAAAATGTAAATAAAGGTAATGCAAGATAACCAGCACGAACGCGTGTTGCCATTCAAAGCTGATACCCATGACAATAAAGCAGTCAGGTGTAATGAATGAGAAGAGTATATCTTTGTGTTCATATCATAGATAATAATATCGAAAATGGTGTGTGCCTATTTTATGAGTCGTGTTCAGCTTTAAGTGATCTGGAAAACTTTATGATCATGCAATGAAAGAAAAATTAAAAGTGCTACATTTATGTCCGGTCAATATCTTTAAGACAGTATCATTAAATGCAATGACTTTAAAAAATGCAGCTGAGACTATAATTTTGTGAACTTTCTCACAACAGCTTAATTCATTTGGTCCACTCACGTGGAGGCCCAAAACTATCACTATCCTATAAATTCATTTATTGTGCCTTCACTTATTTTTCACTAAGTACATTTTTTGGAATCCTTGAAAATCACCATAAAAAGATTGACTCCCTACAAAAAGGTGTGTCAGTTTGATGAATTGATACACACCTAATTCGAGCACCTTGCAATTTCTTTAAATCATATGAAAAGTATAAAATTGAATTTAGGCCCCTACGGGTTTTGAAAATAGTATAATTATACTCCCCGCAAACAAAGTTTGCGGGGGTATATGGGAATCAGCTTGTCCGTCTGTCTGTGCAAACGTTTCCGGTCCATATCTTTCTTACGGAGGAACATTAGAATCTACTACTCCACACAAAGATTGCACATGACCTAAGGGTGTGTCATGACCTTGACCCAAGGTCATTTGGAGAAGTTCAAGGTCAATGGAAGAAAAATTTCATAATTCGTGTCCAGTCTATATCTTTCTTATGGATAAACTTGGTAGGTTTTTATTTCACACAAAGATTGCTCATGACCTAAGGGTGTGTCATGACCTTGACCCAAGGTCATTTGGGGAAGTTCACGGTCACTGGAAGAAAATTTCATAATTCGAAGCCGGTCCATATCATTCTTATGGATAAACTTGGTAGGTTCCTATTTCACACAAAGATTGCTCATGACCTAAGGGAATGTTATGACCTTGACCCAAGGTCATTTGGGGAAGTTCACGGTAACTGGAAGAAAAAATTCATAATTCGTGTCTGGTCCGTATATTTAGTCTAGGGCTGCGCCTTTGTTTCATTTATTAAAAATATAATGAGCAATCACATTTGCACTAAAAATGTTTTAGCATTTCTCTCTTCTCTTAGATCCTTAAAATATTCATGATTTAGGACCTCTGAAAAACCCAGCGGGGGGTATTTTGTCCCAATTGGACAGTTCTAGTTTTGGTATTGGAATTATAATACAGTTTATGTATAACATTGAGGGAGTAGGCAAGATTCCAGTTTCTCTCTAGCAGGACTATTTCCCTCAGCTGTGCCTTGGAAAATAGACTTGCCCTTGGGACACTGCAATCTTGCCAGCTCCCTCAATGATACATGTATGGTATACCTGTGTAAAAACAAGTCAGTGTGCATCACTATTCACACTGTCACACTGCATTCAATAAACCATCAAAGATATTTAATAATATTGACAAAACCTATTTTGTAATTTTAAAAAATCAATTTTTTGTATAGACATAAATGTACTTTGATTATTGTAAACCTGTCATGGTTACAGTTTATTAATCCCCAGTTGGTGAAATGGAAGGGAATTGTAGGTTCCGTCATTGTCTGTCCATCTATCTGTCAGTCTTTCACTTGGTTTTCTGAACTTTTTGTACAAAAAAAATGCAGATTTTTGGTGCATGAGTGTATCTTGATAAGCTGCAGGTGAAATGTGCATTTGTTCTGCTTCATTGGAACAAGGAAATATAGTTAGACTAAGTTTAGATTTAAAGGTCAATTACACCTTAACCATTTTGAAGTACATGTATACTGAAAGGAAAAAGAAACACATTTAAATTAAATTAAAACTATTATTTCGAATATGTTTTTCAGTTTTGTTATCAAAATTTTAATTTATCTTTAATCAACAAGTTATCAAAATCTTGTGTGACTTTGACAGATAATTCATGAGTTATTGAAATTGATTTGTCGATACCCCCCAAAATTAAAATAAAAAATTATCATCATCTCCCTTGCGCCTGCTTAACAGCCTTGATTCTCCTGTGCATTAAGTTCATCCGAGCATTTATCTTTCTCATAAGATTTTATTTAACCCTTCTGACGGTATAGTCCTAATGGTTGAGAGTAGCTGTAACATTCTAAAGCCAACAAATCCCCCAGCCCAATGAATCCAATGAATTTTCCATTTAGGATAGAATTTATAGAATCCAGCTGGTTTGGTACACATGAATGTTTGAAAGAAAGTCTCGACAAACACTGGCTACATTTTCTCAGTATGAACATACTCAAAACATTACCCATATGATGGGTGCATGAAAAATTGACGTAAAGTTGCCAAATTTGCGGAACAAATTAGAGCAGAGAGTTTTCGTCAGTTTTAAGGTGAAAATTTGGAGTATGCTTGTCTGCTGTATAAATATCGGTTTCAGTGATAATGCCTTGAAGATATTGACCAAGGTGGCATGATGAAAAGCCCTTTTTTGATGTGACCTTGTTACGCGCCAGCGTCACTATCATGGTTGGTTGGAAACATTTTAATTAAGTTACCATTTGATAACCGAAAAACTTTTTTTGGTTGAAAAGTTAAAAACAAACTGCACAGTAGGGTTGTGCGATTTTATCAGTATACTGGTATATCGCGATTTTTTACTGCGTGATACGTATCGTGATAAGGAGACCTAAATACTAGTATTTAGGTACATATTATAAAGTCTAGAAATTATTCATTTATTTGTTCAATCCTTCAAATAACAACTACTGAAAGTCTTAAAAATGTTGTAAAAGGTGAAAAGAACGTCATCTTACTATCCAAACATGATTAATTTAAGGTATATAGAAATAATGACTATTCATTTAAAATCACTGTAAAATTTGCTTGTAAAAATTTCATGATATTATCGCGATATTTAGGGGAAAAATCAAGATATATCGCGATACGAAATTTTTGGCGATACCCATCCCTACTGCACAGCAACATGTTGTTGCCTTTTTATTCACTTATGCAATTCAATTACTAGATCCAATTTAACTTTAGTAACATGATTGCAAGAAATTTATACTGACTGCAAATATGTAAAAACGATGTCTATAACTCTAACCCATAGTTTGGCACTACAAAATGTGATCACAAAATTGCCATCATCAAAATGCACGTGTTTTTGGCATTTTATCGTTTTCCCTATGTGATGCCATACATTTCATGGTTGAGTAGTTTTGACCAGCAATTTTAGTTCAAACTAACCAAAATACACATCTGTCTAATTTTCATAATTTTTGGCAATTTAACATAGTCAAAAAATTTTTGCATATTATGTTCTCATGCATTTCTTTTTCCTTTCAGTATATTTTTAAAAGGACAAGGAGCATCATTTTCTATTTTTAGCTCACTTGATTTGTAAGATCAAGTGACCTTTATTGATCATTCATCATCTGGCATACTTATATGATCATCCATTCATAAATTTATTAACTTTACCTATTTACAGTTTCTTTCGAAATACATACATGGGCTAAGTGGACTAATTTTGATCAAAAATGGGTACATAATATTCCTGAGTAAAGGAGATTCTAAATTGTTTAGATGAAGTCCAAATATTTTCTGGCACTCTCTTTTGTTTTAGTTTCTCCCATTTGTTCTCTAATCTAACAGGAGATTAGTTGAAGACCAAAATAAAAACTGATTTTGAGTATAAATGGATATGACTTATCTAAACTGATTAAATCTATATTCAAGATGCTGTGAAAAAACCATGGATGTGATGCATAATAACCAGGAGGCTTTGTTGACCATTTTGGAAGTCCTTTTGTATGACCCCCTCAACAACTGGACGATATCCCCTCAGAAAGCAGCGGCCCTGCAGAGTCTTCGGGACAGAATGGACACAGAGACTTCAGAGCTTAATGCCACCAAAAGCAGTTTGGTGGATATTGATGCAGTCAATGCAAGTGTGCAACAAGGTAAGTTCATTTTTTGTTTGTTAGTTCAAAATATATAGGCTGATTTTCCCCTCAAATTAATTTTTTTTTTAGAAAGATTTTTTTTTCGAGTACATGTACATGTATTTAAGGGGTGATCCAAAAGTTCATGGAATTCATTTCTGAAATTTTATTGTGATTTGATGAAATTAAACAATAGGCATATTCATAATACATTATGCAACAAAACTGGAAAATTCACCATGTTCTAATTACCAACAAAGTCACACACGCTTTCTGAACATGTATAGTTGTAAACTGTGGGTGAGACTTCCACGTAACATCTAGTTAGGTATGTCACATTAAGTAATAGGAGCATCTCACCCTCATGTCTAATTTGACTAATTCATTCTGCAGAATGCTGCCTTTTTAGGTCATCTGAATAAACTCAGGTGACCTATTGCTATCTGTTTTCATCTGTCGTCGTGCATTGTGCGTTAACATTTGAACATTTTCAGCTTCTTCTCTTCCCTCCCCCCAGGGGCCTGGACATCAAGCAAGCAAACTGTTGGCATGATTGTAATCAGCATTGAGTCCTCTGTCAAAATTGTGAAATTTATGACCCCAGGGTCAGATGTTCTAGTGCAAGGATGGGGCTAAATAGATTATATAGTGAATATGCATTATTTCTTTGAACATCTTCTCCTCTGCTCCTGGGCATAAAACACACTTACCAAGTAAATATAGGCTGCCTTATTCAGGCTACTTTACTCAAGCCTGTACTAATCATACATATCAAATATTTTTTATCAAAATAATTCAACAAGTGTCTGTATTATTTTTTGTACATGCATGTATTTTTGAACTTTTTTCACTGATAAATAAATAAGAAATGGAGAAATTCCACGGACTTTTGGATCAACCCTCGTACAAACTCTCTCTTAAGGACATATTGGCAACGTTTCTGGCTTTAGTATAGAAATTTTCGAGAATTTTTGAACATGTTTAATGGTACCAGACATGTTTAATTCTGGTTCATTTAACCCACCAAACCAGCCTTCCTTTTTAGATTTTGTCGAATCAATGCTTTCACGATTCTCAATCAGAGTCAATGCATTTCCTATGTAAAATATTTATAAAAGGACCTACATAATTTTTAACCATACCATTTCTCCAAAAGCCATTTATTTCATAGACGTTTTGAATAAAATACATTGTTGTATCCTTATATCCAATGACATGTATATATTTTGGCTGAAAATGCAAAATTTAGAAACAAGACACAAAAATTCCAGCACTGTTCGTTAATTTTGAGTTACTTCCCTTAACATCTAATTATTATTCACAATGCTCAAGAGTTTCTATCATGTAATTTACATTAATAGAAACAAATTGTCATAAATATATTTGCATGGATTTATTATAACTTTTATTCGTAGTTACTAAACGGTGCCACCTTCACATGACCTACATGTATAGAACTGTTCTATCTGGTTACCAGCCTAGCTTTCGCCACTTTCAGCACATGTCGTCGCATCTTTCCCTTCCCAACATAGCTATGGTAAATGAGGACCTGTGGACTGTCTGCCCTTTTAGTTTACACAATGTATAACAAAGCTATTACTGTTTTTTTCTTTCTTGCATTATAGCTGATTCTATCCGTTAAAAAACACATGTGCTTTTGTTTACTTCTGTTTACGTTTTATTTATTTCCACCGCCTAGAGAATTCCAAATGAGAGATCACTCTCAATGACTGTTTTTATAAATGGAAAAACCCATGTACCGGTATTAAATCTTTTTTCTCCAGAAACCCTGCCTTGCCAATGACCTTAATGTGTAATATAATAGTCTAGGTCACCTACACGTTTGTTGCATCGATGCATGGTCTCACACCAAATGAAAGTGGGGTCAAACGACTTGCGTGACCTAGGCTAGTAATATAAAAGAAATTCAAACTCACATTTTTTGCCCACATAGTTTAAAATATGCCCTATTAGAAAACGGTATGACAATTGTGAAATCAGACATTTCACTACAGAATAATAAATTATGCGTTTTTTAAAAAATTACAAATAAATCGTACAATGTGACCTATTTTTGAAAAACTTGAACCTTGGCTATAACTTTTGAATGGTTGATGCTTGCATGGGCTTTCTTATTTCACAGCTTTATTAGTCACCTAAGGTGACCTATTACTATCTGTTTTTGTTTGTTGTCATGCGTAAACATTTGAACATTTTCAGCTTCTCTGAAACCACTTAATCAACATTTGGTATATAGCATCTATGGGTGAAGAGGAACAAAAATTTTGAATTTCAGGGTCCCCCCCCGGTCCTTTCCCCCCTCCCCTGGGGCCTGCAGATTAGGATGAGGCTTAAACCACCAAAATTAATGCAATTCTAAATATGTACCAATTGATAGTATACCCTTCACACCCTCCACTCAGTGATTAAATGTACATGACCTATGGAGAGAATGATCATAGGCATTTTTGCCTGCTGTTCAATTCATTTAATTAATTTGAATAAATATATTTTAAATCAAATTAAAATTATTGCAATCTTTGAAATACTTCTTCACTCCTGGACATCAAGAAGTCAAACTGTGGACATGATTGTAATAAGCAATGAGCCCTCTACCAAAATTGTAAAATTCATGGCCCCAGGTCAGGGGTTCTGGTGTTAGGGTGAGGCTATATAGATCATGTAGTGAAAGTGCATTATTATTCCCCCTCCCCCCCCCCTCCTTCGAAGCAGAGGTTGCACATATTGAAAAGAAATTTGATTTGTATACAGATTTATCATAAGAATCAAGTTTTGTTCTTGGTACAATCGAGCCATTTAGGACAGAGTTAAGCCCCTTTGACTTAGAAAAATAGAAAAAATTCCAATTATTTTCAGTTTCTGTTCATTTCTCTGCTTATATTGAAATTGTTTACAGATTTTTCAAAAAAATATCTGGGTCAAGTTGTGTTTTGGATATGATCAAGCCATTCTCGATAGAGTTATGCCCCTTGGACTTAAAAAAAATTGGGGGAGGGGGTGCATAAGTGTTTTAACAAATATCTCTTGTTTCTTTGAGAATCTTCTCTGCTCCTGTGTATTAAACAAAGTAACTAAGTACATAGTTATGATGACCAAGAGTGCCTCTTCAAAAATTGTGAATTTCATGGCCCCTGCTTCAGGGGTTCTGGTGTTAGTTTTATTTGAGTTTGTTTTGTTTTTTCATTCTCAGAATCCCAAGAGAGTGTGAATAAACTTGCAGAGCGGGTGTTACTACACCTTCAACGGAAGCTACAAGGATATGTGGAAGGAGTTCAGTTTAGTGTAGCAGGACAAGTAAACAACCTTATCCAGGAGGCAAGAGATCCTAAGAATCTCTGTAGACTGTTTCCAGGCTGGCAACCATACATATAACTTTATCAAAGAAAATACTTAAACATTTTTTTTACAGAAATGTAATTGTAAACAGGCTGTTATCTGTTCATGGCAGACTTTCAGTGCTACAGAACTATGATACGTTTACATCTATATCTATAATTGATATTTTGTTTCACATGTACACATGCATTAAAATATGAAACTGATGATTTGCTCAAGAATTTATTATTGAAAATTTTGGAAACAGAACACGAAAAACCTCTAATATTGAGGTTTCATATTTAGGTAGATATTGCATTTGGATGCATAAAAAGAAAAGTATAATTGTGAATTCATCATTTGTAATTATTACCTCAGAGTGAGTTCACCTCAAATGATGTTCTGGGAGGTCTCTTTGGGTTTTTCCTCTTGACAAACCATGGATTTTTAGCTCTTCTGAGCCAAAGGCTCAAAGAGCTAATGCTATGGCCATTTGTGCGGTGTGCACCGTGCGGTGTGCGTTAACTTTTTAGAATATGGGCCATAACTTAAGAACCCCTTGGCCAATCATTGTCAAATTTGTCACAGGGTATCCTTGGCCCAAGGGCTACATTTTATACTAAAACTAGGGTTGGGACCCTAAAACAAGGGAAGATAATCAGGAAAATAAAACCAAAAGTACAGGTTGCTAAAAAATCTTCTTCTCCAGACCCACCAGGCAGATTTTCACCAAACTTACATACAAGGGTCAGGATATGTTGAAGATTAAAAATTGTTCAAGGCATGACCCTGGGGCAAAGGGCATGGTCTCAAGGTCACTTCAAAGTTAACAAAAATTTACACTTAATAAAAACGTTGATATTTTACCTACTAAAAAGATTAGGATCATCAAATCTTGTAAGTTGATGCATCTTAGGACTTCACATCATGTTAACACAAAAGTAGGTCACGGTGACGGTGACCTGCTTTTTAAATTTTACAGCCTTTCGTTTTCAAATTGATTTGGAGGCATATTTTGGACACTTTAAGGCCTATGATCATCAAACTTTGTCAGTTGATGCACTTGAATTGTTGAACAAGGTCAACTTAAAAGTAGGTCACCGTGACCTACTTTTTGAATTTTATAGCTCATCTTTTCTAAAACATTTAATCCCATTATTTCAGACACTGAGAGGTTTAGAATCACCAAATCTTATAAGTTGATGCATCTTGGGGCCTTAAAACATATTTATGAAAATGTAGGTCACTGTGACCTACGTTTTGAATTTTGCAGGCATTTGTTTTCAAATTGTTTAAAAGGCATATTTTGAAGACTTTTAGACCTTTGATCATCAAACTTTGTCAATTGATGCATCTTGGGTCTAGTTCAAAAAGTAGGTCACGGTGACCTACTTTCAATGTTTTATGGCTATAGGGTGAATTCACCATGCATCGACACATACCTTGCTTCGGACAACTTTAGGCAATAAACTCTCTTTCAACTTAAGAGTTCCGTGTATTTATTTGATTCTGTCTTAAAGATGAAGATTTAAATTTTTTAATGATACCGATTGTTATTATCATGTTGTGATAAAAATACTCCGATAATGGCCTTGAAGTTACATCATATTTTACATCATCAAAGGGGAATAACCAGAAATTTATGATTTTGCAATTTTTAGAGTTATCGTTCTTAAAATTCGACTTCAACGGACCAGATCAGACTTTGGTGAATTTTATCAAAGATTGGCAACTTTACATAAATTTTAAAGAATTTTCCCTTCGATATTTGTATAATTCTTTTTAAAGCTGGTTTTTACTAGTATGTTCATTTCTCCGTACATCGGACACAAATTAACCATGCATCGGCCACTTTCCGATGTAAAGGTAATCACGACCATTTTGATACAGAACCCTACTGACAGCTGTTTTTGTCGGAAATAGAAAATAAAAACTCTAAATTTTCAGTCAAAATACAAGTTATCCATATATGAAGTCTAAAATCTGACTCAATTTATTTCTACAAACCACAGTATGATAGCACATGAGAAAAAAGGCGCGAATTACCGCATTACAAGCATTTTAAGAATTTCTAAGGCAAAGTGAGGCTTCTTGAGTCGTTCTACATTTGTGCAACAATATCGTCAATTATATTTAAGTTGAGGGTTATTTCTTAGATAAAAGATGAAAGTTTATCCATATCAAGGAATTCAAAGCACTGTCATGAAGGTATTATATTTTCCCAATTCAAATACCGTCTGTCCGATGCATGGTAAACAATGTTCGATCCATGGTGAATTCTGAGTTATTTTTAAAAACTCTATTTTTTATAATATTTTCTCAATAAAAAGCATATAATTGTGTCCAAAATTTATATTTTAATCACATACTAAATGTTAAACTCCATTTTGATAGTTTTCCGTCGGTAGCGATATCACTAGGACTTGTTGAAGTACAAGGGTATCCGATGCATGGTGAATTCACCCTATTTAAGTATCTTAGGTACTTTTTGGCTTAGAATCATCAAACTTTGTCAGTTGATGCAACTTGGGTTTTCGGAACATGTCGACCAAAAAGTAGGTCACTGTGACCTAGTTTTGAATTTTATGGCTATATTTAAGTATCTTAGGTACTTTTTGTCCCCCGCTTGAAAAGTGGGGGATATTAATTCGGGTTTGTCCGTCCGTCCGTCTTTCTGTCTGTCTGTAATGCTTTCGTTTCCACACGATATCTCGAGAACCCTTTGAGCTTTCGCAATGAAATTTTGCATAACAACTCCCTATAGACTAAAGAAGACCCCTATTGATTTTGAGGTCAAAAGGTCAAAGTTCACGGTCATAAATTTGCAAATTCTGTCTGTTAGAACACTTTCGTTTCTGCGCGATATCTCGAGAACCCTTTAAGCTTTTCCAATGAAATTTTACATAACAACTCCCTGTGGCCTAAAGAAGACCCCTATTGATTTTGAGGTCAAAAGGTCAATGTTCAAGGTCGTAAGTTTATACATTCTAACTGTATGAAACACTGTCATTTTCGTGCAATATTTCAAGAAGATTGTGAGCTTTTGCAATGTAATTTTATACCAAAACTCCCTAGGACCTGTCTCACCCCTCTCAAAGTGTCCTGCCCCGTTTGTTTTATTAGTATTTATTGTATTACATGTCGCTATTTTTAGCACAGGGGCATGGGGAGAGTTATTACGTATAAAAAAGGTTCTCGGTGGACTTTACATTCTTATTACGTCTATTAGAACTGTTTAATAAAGGTTAAATAATTAGACACCGTGCATTGTGTAAAATTTTGACAATATCGAATGTGAATATATACATGTATGTGACTTTATCTTTGCATATAATATTGATCTGTCCGAAGCGGTTCCATGGTCTAGGGGTATGTCTCTCGCTTCACATGTGAGAGGGCCCGGGATCGCATCCCGGGCAATCTAAGTTATTTTTTTCGAAATACTTTTTTTTTTACTAAATGATAGTATTCAGCATGTGAAATGAAAAAAAATTATGAGGGCTGGCTTGTACAAACTCATAAAATCATCATTACAGTGTGATAAATATTCCAGAATCTTCTATACACATAAAAAAGAATAAGCAATCAAACCTTTATATCCATATTGGCATATTTTATTTGCTTCAGTCTACATGTATACATTTAATAATTCTACAAATTCAGTCAAAGGGATCCAACCCCCACCCCCTCCCCTCCCCCGAACTGTGCATGGTTTACTTTTTTCCCTAAGCGGGGGACACAAAATCTCTGAATTAGCTTGTTGGCTTAGAATTATCAAACGTTGTCAGTTGAGGCATCTTGAGTTTTTGGAGAATGTCGACCAAAAAGTAGGACATGGTGACCTACTTTTGATTATCTCAGATACTTATTGGCTTAGAATCATCAAACATTGTCAGTTGATGCATCTTGGGTCCTCAGAACATGTCGACCAAGAAGTAGGTCACAGTGACCTATTTTTGACATTTTATGGCTATATTTAAGTATCCGGGGTACTTATTGGCCCAGAAATGTCAAACGTTGTCAGTTGAGGCATCTTGGGTTTTCTGAGAATGTCAACCATAAGAAGGTCACAGTGACCTCTTTTTGAATATATATGAGGTACTTATTGGCTTAGAACCATCAATCTTTGTCAATTAATGCATCTTGAGTCCTCAGAAAGTTTCAAATGAAAAAGTAGGTCCCCGTGATCTAATTATGGTATTTTATAGCTATACTGAAATATCTTCAGTCCTAACTGGCTAAAAATCATCAAACTTTCTTGGGATACTTAGAGTTAGAGGCTTCAATTAGAAGTGATAGATTGTACAATTTATCAGAAGAGTGATTCAAGGCCCTTGGGCCTCTTGTAAATGATGCATTACAACCAAAATTAAATTATTACAAATTGACCAAGTTGATAAAACAAAATATTTACATTTATTGTGTTTTTCCACATGACAAACTGTGAAATTAATTTGGATCCCACTTTCGTATTTTATATATACACACAAGTTGAAACTATTATTAATTATACCCCCCATCCACAAATGAAGTTTAAGGGGGGTATATTGGAATCAGCATGTCTGTCTGTAGATGAGATTTTGTGCAGACCATTTCCCAGAAATTATTTTCATCATGATTGGATGATTTTTAGGTCACCTGAGTAAACTCAGGTGACCTATTGCTATCTGTTTTCATCCATCGTCGTTCGTCGTGTGTTAACATTTGAACATTTTCAGCTTCTTCTCTGCAACCACTCAACCAATTTCCACCAAATTTGGCATAAAGCATCTATGGGTGAAGGGGAACAAAAATTGTGAATTTCATGGTCCCTGCCCCCCTGGGGCCTGAAGGGCAGGGCCAAAACCAACAAAATTAATGCAATTTTTAAAAATCTTCTTCTTTACTCCTGGACATCAAGCAGTCAAACTGTTAGCATGAATGTAATAACCATTGAGTCCCCTACCAAAATTATGAAATTCATGGCCCCAGGTTCAGGGGTTCTGGTGTTAGAGTGGGGCTCTATTGATTATATAGTGAAAATGCATTGTTTCTTTGAAAATCTTCTTCTCTGCTCCTGGGTATTAAATAAACTACCTAAGTACATAGTTATGATTAGAAAGAGTGCCTCTACCAAAATTGTGAATTTTATGGCCCCAGGGTCAGGGTTTTTGGTTTTAGGGCGGGCTTCTATTGATTATATAGTGAAAATGCATTATTTCTTTGAAAATCTTCTTCTCTGCTCCTGG